CGGAAACCAAATTGAGAAGGGGAGAGGAGGTGATGGTGTTCCAGGAACCACATCAGACGAACGTTAACCATACGTTCAAAGAGTTTGCAGACACAACTTGTGAGAGCAATAGGGCGAAAGTCCTTAGGGGAAGTACCCAGAGACCCCGGTTTGCGAACAGGGAGGACAACGGCATCGAGCCAGTCCTCAGGGACTGACGACGACTCCCAGATCCGATTATACAGACTCAGTAAATACTGAGACGTGCTCGGAGGGAAATGGCGAAGCATCTCATAATGAATACCATCGGAGCCCGCCGCCGTAGAACCGCAGAGGGCCAGGGCAGAACGAAGTTCAGAGAGAGAGAAGGGATCATTATAGGGAAGCTGAAGATGAGTGCAGAAATCTAAAGGACGAGACTCAAGGACAGGTTTACGAAGAAGGAAAGATTGGGGAAGATGAAGACCAGAGCTAACAGAAGAAAAGTGGGAACCCAGTTCGGAAGCGACCTGCAACGGGTCCGCCACAAGAGTATCATGGAGGTGAAGGACCGGTGAAACATCGGGAACGAACTTACCCGCTATCTTGCGGATACGCTTCCAGATCTGGGCCAGAGGGGTCTCGGACGTAATTGTTGAGACATAAGATGCCCAACATTCACGTTTAGCCGTACGGATGGCCCTACGGGCCACCGCACTCGCTTTCCGAAAGAAAAGAAAAGAATCAGTCGTCTGCCTACGGCGGTGCCTCTTCCAGGCTGCACGCTTACAGCGGACAGCCCGAGCACAGTCCGCATTCCACCAGGGAACGCACTTCCATGAACCCCGAGAGGAAGAGCGAGGAATAGAGCGGAGGGCAGCGTTGAAGACAGTGTCATGAAAAAGGAGGAGAGCGCGAGAGAGAGGCAGAAGGGAGAGGTCAGAGAGAGCAGCACTGAGGGTAAATAGGGTCCAGTCTGCCTTAGCAAACTGCCACCTAGGGAAAGAGAGGGAAGGGCGAAAAGAGAAAAAGGAAACAAGGATGGGGAAATGATCACTTCCATGGAGATCAAGAACCTGCCACGTGAAATCTAAGTAAAGAGAAGAAGAGCAGAGAGAAAGATCAATCAAGACAAGAAAGGGTGCGAGTCCGAGAGTCCAAATGAGTGGGCTCACCAGAATTCAGAAGAGACAGGGAAGAAGAGGAAAAACGGCTCAAGGAGGCGACCCCGGGTATTCGTCAGAACGTCACCCCAAAGAGAATGACGACAATTGAAGTCACCCAGCAGGAGCACAGGCTCCGGCAAGGAGTCTAGGTGGTGTTTCAAATCAGGAAGAGAGAGCGGGACACTCGGGGGGAGATAAATGGAACAAACTGTGTACCATTTCCCCACAAAGATACGAGCAGCAGAACAATGGAGAGGCGAAGGAAAAAGTAAAGGAACAAAGGGAACATCAGCCCGAATCAAGAGAGCAGAAGAATTAGAAGCCCCAGCAATGGCTGGGGGGGAGGAGAGGAAGGAATAGCCACGAAAACGACCAGGACGAGCACCAAGCATTGGCTCCTGGAGACAGACACAAATGGGCGAAAACCGCGAAATCAGAAGTTGGAGTTCGAGGAAATTGGCGTAATAACCTCGAACGTTCCATTGAAGAATGGACAACGACGAGAAGAGAAAGGACAAAAACAGAGAACAAGGAAGAAACAAAGGCGAAAGAGCAACAGAGCACGTTAAAGAATATCAGGGTCGGGATCAGGGTCAGCAAAGTCAGGGTTAGGGGGCATGGGTAAACTGAGCAAAGACGGAGGGAAGGAAACGGGAGAACAGATCAGAGGTGGGTGGGCAGGATCCGGAGGAGGAAGAGGAGGAGACAACTGAGAGGAGCAGTCAAGGACAGCAGCAGGAAGAGGGGGAGTAGAAAGAGGGGAGCGCACCCCAGCAAGAGCAGCAACCGAAAGGGAAGCAGGGGCCAAAGAAACCTCCATAGCAGTAACAGTGGGCGCAAGCACTGAAACGGGAGGGGAAGGAGCAACAGAGCCAGGAGGAGGAGCTGAGGAGGAAAGCGAAGCCTTCTTACCCGCCGGGGAAGAGGAAGGAGAGGAGCCAGGCTTACGCTTCTGACTTAAAGAGACCGGTGTCCCAGCAACTACGTACCGGGCAACGGATTCCAGTGTCTCAACAGGAGAAGCCGAACAAGAGCACACACGACGGCCGTTAGGAGAGCGATGGACATGCGCCCGCACCGACAGGCGGTGGGGAGAGCCGATAGATGGAGGAAGAGGATGGGAAGGAGGATCGGAGGGGGACGAGGAAGAAGACACAGAAGACACGACAGACTGGGTAGAAGGAAGGGGAACCCCTGACAGAGGACCAGGAGGAGGATCCTTCGGGAGAGAACCCAAAGGAACAGAGGAGGGGGCAGTGGGTGCATCAGGGTCCAAGGCCCGAAACGGTTCTGAGTCTGAGGAAGGCGGGAAGGACGAGGAGAGGAAGAGCGCAACACGCGAGCATAAGAGATATTAGCATAAGGCGGGAGCCGGCGAACCTGGCGCCTCGCCTCAGGAAAAGATAAACGCTCCCGGTGCTTCAGGTTGAGGACGGCTGCCTCAAGCTTGTAATGGACACACGCACGGGAGAAGGTAGGATGGGCCTCACCGCAGTTGAGGCAACGAGCCTGGGGAGAAGTGCACTCCGACAGAGTGACCTTCGCCACCACACAAAGGACAGAGAGACAGTCCAGGAGCAGCGGAGGGCACCATGCCCAAACCTCCAGCACTTATTGCAGAGCCGAGGAGAAGGAATGTACTCCTGGACAGAGCACCTGGCACCAGCAAGAATGACAGAGGGTGGAAGGGTCCTACCATCAAAGGTAATCTTCACAACCCGGAGGGGTTGACGGCGACTACCACGAGGGGGACGAGTAAACGTGTCCACCTGGAGAATAGAATGGCCCTGGGCAGCGAGGATATGTCGAATATCGTCGTGGCAGTCGCGCAGGTCCCGAACACCGGTCGCAACATGGGGCGGGAGCAAAATAGTGCCAACACTGGCATTCAACTGAGCGTTCTTCGAGACCCGAACGGGGTCTCGCCAAGGCAGGATAAGGCAGCCAAGCGGGAAGCAGCATCCTGAGAAGGAGGAGCAACGACACGTGTACCGAGACGAGTGGGGTTGAAAGTAATGGAGGCATCCACGGAATCAATGAGATGTCGATGGAGGGAGAAATCGTCAGGAGGCGCAGAATCAAGAGGGAGGAGATCAAAATATTTGGCCCACGAAGCGGGACCAAACAAGGCTTGATAGGTAGCAGAACTGGAAGGAATCGAGCGAGGGCGGCCGTGACGAGGACGGCAGTGAGAACCCCCAGAGAGAGAGAGGTTAAAAGGCGCAGTAGTTACAACTAGAGAAGGAGCCGCGCCAGGGGACGAGGTAGTCACCACTGGGGGCTTGGGGCTCGACCCAACCACAGAGGGAGGGGAGCCAGGGAAGGAGTCAGAGAGGCCAAAGGAGGAGCAAGGTCGGGGCCCAAAGCAGCGGAGGCTACAGAGCCCGGTCTTCCAATACGGACCGACTCGGGGGCTTGGTCGCCCACCCCACGAGCCTGAGAAGGTAAGCCAGAAGCAGCCGAAACAGGGGTTATCATCTTTACGAAAAGAAGAATTCATTCACGAATGTGCCCCCACACCCACCATGGAGCCACAATTAGAGGCAGGACACCCAACAAGAAGCTATCGCCGATCTTGTCGGGGCCTCCTAGGGGTGCGTCGTGAGTATACGCCCCACAAACGCCACCTTAAGAAACCGACAGTCCGTCGAGATCGGGTTCAGTGACGAAAGGGGATTGACAATAAAAGGTTCCCCTCGCTCTCAATGTCGGGTACTACAGTTCTACGGGTGCAAGAGTATGCCTCCTCAAGCACCCGGGCGTCAAAATAGAAGAAGTCCAAGGGAAGAACCAGAACGAGCAAAAGGTCGGCAGGAAACGGCAAGCAGATAGGAGAAGAGGGGGGAGAAAAACGAAACAGAAGGAAAAGGAAAAGATGCCCAGCAGAATTGGAGAGGACGGCAGCAGGAGCACAAGGCTAGAAAAGGACAGAGGACTGTCCCAAGGAGCATCACACTCCGGCAGCCGCCCACGAAGCCCCCACACGGCGACAACGAGCTGAGCGGGGAGGGGGGAATAATGTCAAAGAAATCCACCTCATCGAGGATGGAACAATGCGTAAACAAAATGTGTTAGAAAATCTTTACACTTCTGACAGTACGATACGGGTCTGTTCCATTCAGTACCCACGAGGGGAAATAGAAAAGCATCCAGAAGATGGAAAAAAACTCAAATATTAAATAAAATGGAAATAAGTGGACCCCGGTGCCATGGAATACTATCTACCAAGGATGTGAGAATTGAGGGCCGAGCGTGAATGAGTGCAGACTGTAGTAATCCTTCAAGGCACTCCAACTTAAAGAAGAGGCCGATCTCAACAACGGGAAAATGCTATTGCCCCTCATGCCTAGGTCCTGATAAACACGTGCCACCCACACATGACAACCTCACGATGACCCCTCCAGTGGGCGCTCGATTTCAGTGGGACTCCTTCCTAGATGGGTGTTCGGTCGCACGCCAGCACAGCATGGTGATGGGAGCAGAAGCCACCTTAACTACCCGATAATGGCGCATACGAGGGGACGTAATGAGAGAATATAGGCACACTAGCGACACCAGGGCAAATGGAGAATGTAAAAATGTTATGAAGTTACCGAATCTAATCATTAGTTATGGTCGTGAGTGTAAAAACACGCTACCTCGCCAGAATATATCATTCATAGTTCAGGAATGTTTGCAGTGGCGATAAACTCCAAGATTGACATGGGATCGTAGACGATGCTAACAGATCAGTGTGGGAAGCTACGGTGCTCTGGCAAAGGTCACTGTGCCCAAGACACTCACCAGGTCACCGTTACACACACACACACACACACACACACACACACACACACACACACACACACACACTCTTTGGGTAAAACTAAAATTTCTTTATTACTTTATATAGATTTTTTATTGTAAATCAACAAAAGTTTATTTTTATAAACAAGAGCCGTCAGTGAGAACCAGACAGACTTTATTAAGTATGATAAAAGTAAAATTTACAAGGGAGCAGCCAGTGTTGGTCTGGAGAACCTACTCCAACCCTCTTGGGTTGGTGCTACCTCTCCCTCCTTAACACCCCTAATTGTCCATCTCAAGATTTCCCCCATCTCGTAAGGACACCAATCGCCCCTTCCCCGCCCCCAATCCTGCCAGTCAGTCAGTCAGTTCTCCCTCACACTCCATAACATCCCTTGTAGACATTGTGTGTGTGTCAAGGTCATTTCACAGTACAGCAAAAACCTACATGTACTCTAACATGCAAATAGCAAAGCTTCAAATCTTATAAAGTTTGAAAGAAGCAAGTCAAATTCAATATGCTTGAGTGGAGTTCTGGTCAGAACCCATTGACCCCCTTCTCATATGGCTAATTAGTATATTAGTTTACAAGATTAACTCACTTTACCATAAATGTCTTCACCCAGACTTTGCACTGCTCCTTAGCTAATATTTATATATTAAAGAAAGTGTATCTTCCATACTCGGTAGGGTATGGGGCTCAGTGATTCTGTTTGATTCACCTGTTTAAGACCAACAGCCATCCTGGAGAGGTAGACTAGACACCAAGAGTACAGCTGCTCTTAGCCACTTTCACTTTAAACATTACCGGCTGTAATAAATAATATTTCAGTTACAACTAAATTCTTCAGTGCGATTATTGGCAAGATCTTCATCTGTCTACAATGTTTGCCATCAGGTTTTTTGTTGCACTTCTCAAAGTTTGTATTTATTTTAGTCGAAATTCACCTTAAAAGTAGACTTTACACTACAGGTTTTAAACCACTCCTCTAGCTCGCTCTAGCGTTGTCGTCCAGCACTCCTCCAAGTTTGCTTATATTTTTAGTAATTTATTTTTAAAAGTACCAAAAATAATCTATGAATATTGCATACCTGGCCAAACTAAATTGGTATCACAATGTAGCACCTTTTAATGCCGCCAATACTGGAAGCCTTTTCTTTATTGGAAAATTCCCATTTTTAAAAGACATTTCTTGTATCCTTCCTCCATTAAAAGAAATTTAGATGATCCTACTCGGTTAAAAATGACTCCAGCGGAACTCTTTCCTTTTAGAGTGTAATCTGACGATCTTCCTCAGTAAATGTCGGTTTTCGCCACGAAGCCTTCTTTAGTGAAGCTCCTCAGTCAGGTCAGTAGATATTATCCAGCCCCAGCTTGGACTCTGCCACCTTGAAGGACGCCTGGGCCACGCTCATCAGGCCTCCGGGCAGGGATCGCGTCATCTCCAGGGCCCCCGAGGTCCTGTCAGGTTATAAAAACTTTGGCAAGAAATTCAAGAACACTTCTGACTCGTCCCTAGCTCAGTAGTCCCCCCCCCCCTCCCCCCAATCCCACCCCAGTTGCAAGACCCTCATACCCTCTCCTACTTTTCTCCTCCCTTAACTGACATTTAACCACTGACATACTGCTATATACATGCCATTTATATCCTTTGCAACTTCCTAAAAAGTTGGTGTTCACTGCTTGCCATCAGTGCCTCGCGTCAGTAGAAACCGTTGCAAGAAACATCTGTCACAGTTCCATTTATAACGTACAGCAATTTTAGTGTAAATGATAGAATATTTAAAACTGATACAGGTGTGTTGCTAGATCAAGTTGCGCTATGTTGCACACTAACCGGTAGCACCCTTCTCTGCTACTCGCCAGCATACTTACGAACAAGTGCAAGAGCACAATTTTAACATTTAACTCTTGAAAAGTTAAAACCAAGAATTTCTCCCTGTAACAAATTATGTAACCGGTATCAAACTTTATAGTATCGACTAACTTGTTGACGGTGGAGGTGACGGCGGCGAAGCTGGCCCCCATCACCCGGCCGACGAGGGAGGAGGACTTCGCTGCCGGCTCGAGCGGGGAGAGCGGCCTCCAGGGCAGTTCCCGCAAGAACTCTGTGACCACTTCGTTCACCTGGGGCGCCCGGCTCACGTGGGATAGGTACCCAGAGCCGGGTACTGGCTTGATGGTGATCCTCTCCACGTACTCTGTAGGATAATGGGAAGGTCAGAGTGCCTCATCTTTGTCCAGCTACTTGGCACCGTGTAACACTAAGGCGTTTGGTTTAGTTGTATTTAAAATACATAGATATATGTGAGTCAGACAAGGATTTGAGAAGGCGCCAGTTTGGTCGACCCGAGTCTCTCACCTCTAGCGTTAATGACCTCAAGTGACCTGAGGTCAGATCATGAGAATTTCCCCTTGCTTCTGCTAATCTTATAATTGGAGCCTGGTAGCCTTCAAACATGCCGACGTTTAAGGAGTGGCTTGGTAGTGCGCCTGAGGCTATCTACTTGTGGGCAGAGTTAGTTACTAGGTTCCCCAATATATACTCTAAGAGCTATCGATTCGAGAGCATGAGCAATAAGAGAAGAACAGCAGCCAGGAGAGCAGAGAAGACGGCCTAGCAGGGAGGCTGTCGGCCGGCAGGGCGGGACAGTCTGTTAACTACAGACCCCCCCCCCCTCTATCCAGTTATAGGCAGACACTTGGCGAGTTGAACATTAAGGTGACTTGGTCGTGTTTACATATGTGTGATGATCAAGGGTAGTCAAGTTGTAGGGTTCTCAAATTCTTGGATGATTACTCACTTTGCATATTAAACTGGAACATTTGAGTTGCTTAAATTATGATACTTATGTGAAATATAATTATGATTTAAATTGGCTTTAACTGTGTTCCCTAGAGTTTTTGAGTTGAGGTGAGAAAGCCTCGGTGGTTACTGGATTCATGATATTAATGAGTACATGTTTGGAGTTGATACATGGTAATAACATCTTTTGAGAATATTTTGATACAGACAAGTTCCATTCCTTGTCTTGTAGGTAATGGTCTAGAATGGATGGTGGCAGCATTTCTCCTCCTACTATCTACTCTTCTATTTCTACCTATCTACACCTCTCCCTCCACCCCTCTCTAAACTCTCATTTTCAACTAATGACCCTCCTCGCTCCTCCCACCTCTCTACCTCTCACCCCAAACCCTCAGTAATTACTTCACTATTCATTTCTTTCCTTTCGTTTTCTCTTATACGTTTGTGGCAGTGAAATGTATTCTAGAGTTCTCTCTAGAGTTTCGGGTAGCTGATCGAGTTACGGCGCCTTGTAGTCGTAGCACCTAGGTAGTCGAATACCTAGGTTACAAGGTGTTGAACGAGAGAGGTTACCTTAGGAACTCTGGAGGTGCTCTAGAATAGTTAGCTAACTGGGGACGGGATAACGGACTAGAGAGCTGTTTCCCCCGGCCTCGTTAGTTAACTGGGGGGGGGGGGTAGAATAATGGACAAGATAGAGCTATTTCCCCGACCCCCGTTACAAACGATAGTCATCAGACAAGTACAGGTTATTATTCTGTTGACAACCTCTCATGGTCCCAGTGCCCACGAAGGCCTGCCTGCTGCCACTCCTGGATATCAAGTGCATATGACGATTCCTGCGGCAACTTCAACAATCTTGCCATCATTAAGACCAGCAAATACTTTTGGATCACTGGCATGCCTAACAGCCTTTCATCATCGAGCCTGAGACGTACAAGGAAGAGTTTGCCAAACATCTACAGTTATTTACAAAATATAGAAAACCGATTCCCATACAATTCCCTGTCCACACACGGAAGAGAAGGGAATAATCAGGAGAACGTGCCAAGCCATCAACTATATAGCACTTGGAAGGGATCAGGATGAGGATTTGGGATGGGATGGGGGGAGAAATGGTGCCCAACCACTTTGACGGTCGGGGATTGAACACCAACGTGCATGAAGCGAGACCATCTCTCTACTGTCCAGTTCAAGTGGTTGGGCATCCACACAGTGAAGAATTTGGTCAGAAGTTTAAACTTGCTGCATTAACATAACCGACCTTTAGAAAGTTCATTCCCACATGCTAGACTTCGGGAAACTGATTGCACTCCTACAATAGGAAAAGTAGCCTCAGACTGACATTTTAACTGACAATTTACCCGAGGACCGCCATCTGTACTGGGATCAAGATGTCAACGGCTTGTTAATCCCCCCTTTCCCCCTCCTCACTTTCCCCATTGTACCAGAGGATTTTTTCCAACCGAATTTTAAACTGAAGTAATAATGTGTTTGAATTTACAGTTTCGGCAGGTAGACAGTTCCATACATTTATAACCCTGTGAGTGAGGAAGCATCTCCCGTTTTCTGTCCTATATTGCTGCTTGTTGAGCTTTATCTGTGTTCTTGTATTCGTTACATTTGACGTCACAGAAATTATCTGGATTAATATCTTAATTTGTTCTGTCTGGTTTGTACAGTTAGTCCTATGGCCTTTAACCATTCCAAGTTTACTTTGTTCTGGGAGAATTTGTGTCGCTTTTGTAGAATTTTTGTATTAACTGACCAAAGCAGATATATCCTTTTGAACGGGGGGGGGGGGGGGGGGTTCATGCCTGATACACTAGTTTACACGTGGGTGTAACAAGACTTACAGTTACACTAGTTTACACGTGGGTGTAACAAGACTTACAGTTACACTAGTTTACACGTGGGTGTAACAAGACTTACAGTTACACTAGTTTACACGTGGGTGTAACAAGACTTACAGTTACACTAGTTTACACGTGGGTGTAACAAGACTTACAGTTTAATAACCACTAAGGGAAAGGAATAATCAAACGATCCTTTGCCCAAGTTTTCATTCATTGTAGCTTTCACTTTTTGTGCAACTTTCAATGACTTGTGGATGTTAACGCTTATATAACAGACCGATACAGAAAATAACCTAGTAGTGTTAATAATAGTTATACTCATTGTTACGCCCTACATCCCAGGGCGTTCTGATTATTTGTGGAGTTTATGTAAATCTCTCTACAAAGCCTCAATGTCGTTTTCACTTCCTATTTTATCATAGACCTTAGGCTCATCTGCAAATGTTATGATTTTTAATATTTCCTTTAGTCATTGACGCATACCACAACCCGTTCTCGCAAATTTAATAAGTCAATATTGACTTATTAAATATGTGCATAGGTGACATACTTAACATAATAGATACCCTTAAAAAGATTCATAGAAAACACCGACCTTACCTAACCTTGTTAGTATGTTAAGATAAGCATCTTATTGCTTCGTAATTACAATTATTACCTAACCTATAATAGGTATAGGTTAAGTAATAATTGTAATTACGAAGCAATAAGATGCTTATCTTAAGATACTAACAAGGTTAGGTAAGGTCGGTGTTTTCTATGAATCTTTTTAAGGGTATCTATTATGTTAGGTATGTCACCTATGCACGTAGTTAATAAGTCAATATTGACTTTACGAATTTGCGAGAACGGGTTGCATACCAGTGCAGGCCAAGGCAGAGCCATGTGGTACTGCATTTATATTTTTCCAATCTGATTCAATTCCGTTTAGGATGACCCTTTGCTTCCATTATGTTAACAATAGTTATGCCATGCCAGTCATTCATGCGGTACCTCGGCAAAGCGTTAATGAGGTACATGTATACTGCGTTACTGGAAGTCATTTGTCTGAAAAGTTGGTCAATTTCCAGAAAGAAGTTAGTAAGGCAAGATATATTTTCAAGAAAACTATTTTGTGTATTTTACTAGATTGTTCCCCGAGATGGAGAATGATTCCCGCCTCCAGGCTTCTCTCCATGGATCTTGCAGATATGTGAGAATAGGCTGATTGGTCTTTCTGCCCAGCTTCCTTCCCTCCCCCCCCCCCCCCCCCCCCTTTTTTTTTTTTTTTTTTTTTTTTTTTTTTTTAAGTGTAATATTTGCTTGTTTTCAATCTAGGGAAACTTTACCTTTGTTCAGAGATTTTTTGGACCGACTATACGAAGTTCCCGAAATGGGACCAACACTTACCAGCAGAGCGGTAGGCGGTGTCAAGGGGCAGTAGAGGGTCGGCGTCCCCCATGATGAGGAGCGTGGGTTTGGTGATCACGTCAGGGAGAGGTTCATCATCCCTCAGCCTCGTCAGGTCCAGCTGACGCAGGTGGTGCATGGAGCCCGTCCAGTCCTCTAGTGGAAGGTGAAGGTGGTTAAGTTACAGGAAGGTTGGGGGGCGGGCATAGGTCTACACATGTTCTAGAAAATGTTACCGAACATAGCATATTTAGTGCAAAATCCCCCACAGAACACACCCCACCCGCCCATCCATCCCTGCCTCACTTCTTCTGGAGAAAGTGAACTTGTAAGCCTCGACCTCGTCCTCTGTGATAGCCTTTGTTCTGACAAGGGGTCCGAGGAGCTGGTCCACCAAACACACGTCGTTCACGGACGCCGCTATCTCCGGCAGCAACGGTAGCCGCACAAACAACAAGTACCTGTGGGATGGAGGTGCAGTTTGTGAAGAGTTTAAAGGCTTTATGAGGAAGAACCTGCTGGTGGCTTCACAAATCCCTGGGAGACGTTAGAAAATGTTCATGGACCTCATTGTCAAGTCTTTCGATGGAGAAAAAACACAAATAGTCCATTACGAGGTACCAAATTTTTTGGGAAATATCCCATTGCATTCAAACCACTTGAAGACGGCCTTGTGCCGACCGAATTCTTTACATGGGGGTAAAATCCCTGAATGTGTGGACAAGGAAGGTGTTGACTAAGCCGAGTGTGGCTCCACAGTGTGGCATTACTGTGATGGTCAGAGACGAGGTGTGGGTATCAGCCGCCCTTCCCGGTGCCCAGTCAGGCTTTTGAGCGCTGGGACCTAATGGAACTAGTCTATATACCAGATGAAAAACATTTGAAGACCCTTACTATTGACAGATATACTGAATTTGATTAATGTTTATAGTATCCTTTAAAGGATACTCAGATTTAATACATGACTAATTTTTTGTACCCATTTGCTCTTTTTTTACAATTTCACGTGATAGAACCATTAAGTTAAAACTATCAAAGAGCATTTATGTAATTTGCTAACAAGATTGCCTTTTATTAAAAGACATTTACAACTCACCAAGCCTTGTAATAGTTCATCCACAAGGAGTTGACATGCTGGCGGATGACGTATGGATGCGGGGAGTGGATGAGTACCATCTTTGAGACTAGTTGCGGATAGTTGTAGCACATGTACCACCCAACCTGCCCACCCACACCAGCACACACCAGGTGGGCACTCTTCCGACCTGACAAGAAAGTTTTAGTGGTTATTGCCGTGGTGTGTTGAGCGCATGCTCTCCGCGCCTCCAATGATAACAGTTTGGTCTCGTTCAGAAAACCTTGTATGTATGTACTTTACCTGAATAAATATTTGTATTTTTGTATTTAGAAGCTTGAGACTCAATCCCCAGCGACCTCATCCACTGACAGTCTATAGAGCGACGGCCTCGCTTATTGCAGGGTCGGCATTCAGTCCCTGGACAGATTAAAGGAACGCTGCCCAGCAGCAACGTCTTGCTGCTGGGCAGCATTCCTTTACTCTGTTCTGATTTCTCTCCCAAGTAAGTAATTTTATCAAAAGGTGCACCTAGATGGGAAGACTTAACAGTCTGAAATTACTTCCAAGTGATAGTGATTATTATATATATACATTATATATACACACCCGTTTCCTTACTTCAGAGGAAACAAACTGAGGAAGGACAGAAGTCAGTTTCAAGGTGATGTACTCAAACATAGATGGGATTACATGCAACGCAAGTGAACTAAGAGAGAGCACAAGAAGTGAACCCAGATGTAATGGGACTCTGAAACAAAACTCAGGATCATAACAAATGAAATGTCTCCCCAGGACACCCTGGAGCTATCCAGGCTGATGTGCTAATGTCAGACTTTGACATCAGTCGTGTGTATGGAGTTCTGTGGGCCTACCGGGGACTATGAGCAAGAACCTGGCCCCTTCAGAGAGGAATGAGGAGCAATGGCATATAGAAACCCCCATGTGGTTGGAAGCATTCTATGTCTGCCATTGTCCGGGTCAGGCATCCAGAAAGGCATGCATCCCAAAACCCCTATTCTGGTAAAAATTGCTACAAAAAGCCGAACAAGTGGATAGAACTCCCCAAACAGAAACGAGCAAACAAGCACGATGTCACACGTCGCTGTCTGTGCAGTTCCCCCCTCCCATAAAGGAGGGAAGGGGGAGCCTCAGACCCCAACACTGGCCATCCACACCTCAGTTCTGAGGCTGGACATCAAAACGTGAAAAAAAAAAAAACGCCGACCGGGAGGGATGCCGAGAAGCCTCCAGGTCTCTCACAAAAATGGCGTTTCATTACATTCAACGCTGGTTTTCTGGGGTTAGCTCCGGTTAGCCCTTTCGGCTAACCGGAGCTAACTACATACAGAGGAAAACCAGAGGGACTTACCCAGGAGACAATCGCTGCTCATTACTCAACCCGATGACGTCGAGACAACAGGCTGCATCCGCAGACCCAAAGTGACACAGGCCCGACTAGGCCCAGGAACGTTCATGAGGTAGCGCGCAGCCAAGACCCTGTTCGACCACCAAAAAACCCCGCACCTGAATGTCAGCCCAGGACATGTTGCCAAAGACGGCACCAAGAGCAGCAAACTTGCTAACGTCATGGGCACGGGGGCTAGACCGCAGGCTGGCTAACCTTAATAACCTTGCTGACGACCTGGGAGACCCGCACCCAAGAACAGGTTAGAAGGGAAACCTGATCAACCCATAGCGCATCCCTGGACACAAGCTATGGCGCGCAAATAACGGCAGAGGGCCGCAACCGGACAAAGCATGATGTACCCCCGGCCTGATCAACCAAGCATCAACAACCCAAGGACCCCCTCCAGAAAGCAGCCATCTCATTCTTCACCAGAAAAGAAAGGAGATGGCTGCAGACGAACAAACCGAGCGCCACGACCAAAAGAGCAGAAATCCCTGCCCCGGAGGAGAGCATGAAGCTCCCTGACCCGACCCCCAGAGGCCAATGCCAATAGGAAAGAGCCTTTGAGCAAGTCCTGAACCGAAGGGGCCAAAACAAACCGAGGATAAGAGAAATAGAGCACTCTGTCCAATGACCAGGATGGCTCAGGTGAGGCATGAGCAGGCCAGAGGTGAAACAATGCACAAGGCAGCTTGCGAAACGGTGCAGAAGTAACATCTATACCAAAAGCAAGCTGAAGCAGCTGCGCCAGTGCCACACGATATGAGGCGAATATTCGGCACAAGTTGAGAGTCCTGGAACAACCAAGAGAAAGGATACCCCCACCCAAACTGAAAGCGAAGCACAACGACGAAGAGTCAAAAAAGAACTGAAAGACCGCCAGGAAACTTCATACTGCCCCCAAGAAGAAGCCAGCAGGTGGAATACTAACAAGGAAGCCACTTTATCACCATAGAGATGATAAACTAGAGTAAAAAATACCATACGCGAAGACTTAAGATCGAACCAGCCATGTGACGCACCGGTCCGATCTGCTGAAAGAGGTGGAGCCATGGGAAAACCTCCGGGTTTGGACACCAAGCAAGCAGTGCCTGAAACCAACGACTGAGCCGGCCACCACAGGGCCAAGAGGACTACTCTCCCCTGATAAGTCTCCAAGCGAGTCAGGACCTGGAGCAACAGCTGAACAGGGGGAAAGAGGTACAGGAACCCCCACCTCGACCAGTCCTGCCGAAAGGAAAGGGCACCGCGACAGTGCCGAAACGGAAGGAGTCGGCGTCGACCGTCCGTTACATGGATAGGGGAACAAAACAAGACAGGCCCGTCTGCCAAGACGTTAGACATACCCCAAATGTGAACCGCCAGGAGAGCCAAACCCCAACAACTCAGCAGACGAGTCACTTGAAGAGCCAAGGACCGCATCGACCCCCCCCCCACCTCCCCCTCGGTTCAGGCAATGAACCACCGGGGAGCAGTCCAAATGAGCCAGATCGTCGATCCGCAGGCGACCCGAAGCCTCCGAAGAGCAAACCACACTGCTGCGAACTCCCACATCATGCTGTGGTCCCGACGGGAGGACGGACCCCACCGCCCCTGACCGGCCTGGTGAGCACTGGTCATAAAGCCCCAGCCAAGAGGACGCATCTGTGAACACATCGAGCGAGGGCTCGGGCAGGCGCCAAGGCACTGAACCCTGAAAAACCCGAGGAGGAAGCCAGCGATGCAGCGGCCAACCCAAGGTCCCTGGAGGCCGAACCCAGCAATCACGAGAGAGGCAGAAGGGACGTTCCCGAAGTAACCAGAACAGCCGACGAAGCCAAACCCAACCCGGCGGGTAGACCATCATCGCAAAGTTCAGGCTCCCACACCAACCCTCGAGCAACTGCCGGGTGACCCAGGAGTCCCGCAGAAACAGGCGCATGCGGGACCGCAGCCGAAGGAGAGACTCCGGACGAAGAGACAAGGAAGTGGCCCGAGTCCCCCCCCCCCCACAAGACCCAGCCAGGTCCGAACTTCTGAGGGAACCAGATGGGACATCCTCCAGTTCACCAAAACCCCGAACCCAGCGAGCTGGGAAAGAACCAAATCCCTAGCTAGCAGACAAGCGGACTGGCTGGGAACCCAGACCAGCCAGTCGCCAAGGAAGGCCAATACCCAAACGCCTAAAATATGCAGACGGGCCACCACGACCTAGGTAAGGCGTGTGAACACGCAAGGTGCCAGGTTCAACCCAAACGGGAGACAACCAAACTGGTAACACTGTCGCCCCACAACAAAACCGAGTCAGTCCCTTAACCCCAGATGAATTGAGACGTGCCAAAAAGCATCTCTATGGTTCAGGGATAAAATCCAAGCACCCTGCGCCAACAGGAGCCGAACCTGGGACAGTGTGGTCATTTGGAAAGAGGGGCAATGAACCCAGGAGTTCAAATGGGTGAAGTCCAGAATGAACTGCAGGTCCTCTTGGGAAACCCATCCAAGAGACGTCGTCGTTTCGACCCCGCCCAAGCGAACCCACTCCAAGATGACCCGACAGCGCGAATAGGAAGAGGCATGCCCCGACAGCCCCCCCCCCTCCCAAAGGAGAAGGGGCAACCCAACGCCACCGCAGGCCGACCAATACGACCTGAAACGCCCAAAATTCGTGGGACCGGGCGTGAGCGAACACCGCAAGCCTTCCTCCCATCGCCCCGTCAATGAGACGAACCGCGAAAGGGCCGACACCCCTTGTGAGAACCCGAGCCTTGTACAGAGTGAACACTGCACCGACCAGACGAAGGCATGGCCTGCCCCGAAACTGGCACCAGTGGCCTACCCCGGCGAACGGAACCCTGAGCTCTGGCACGACCTCTCTAGGAAGGACGCCGCCCCCCCCCTCTCTCTCCCCCCACAAGGGCCCCCCGAAGAACCAACAAGTCAGACATAGGACAACTAGCCGAGGCAGCCTGCAAATACTGCGCCACTGCAGAGTTAGCAAACAGCAGGGGACAAAAATGCAAAGACATCCTAAAAGCCAGGGCCCAGGCAGATTCCAGAGAGGAAGCAAGCACTGCCTGCCAACACGCTAGCCGGGAAGCATAAAACAGCAAAACCTTATCCCGCAGGATCAGCGCAAACAGCTTCAGACGATGAGCAACCGCCGAGCCCAAGGAACCGGACCCAGGAACGGCCCCTAGCGTCCACACATCCTCCTCAAGTCAGTCCGAAGACAGCTCCTAGAGAAGAAAAATGCAAAGTCGAAGCCAAGAGGCCATGAGCATGCAAGTCCTCAGCAACCTGTGCACCCAAAAGGGAAGAACTTGCACATGGAGCTGCAAAACGCCAACATCCCGAGGAAGGGCAGGGGCAAACAAGCACTCACTGAGGTGCTCAAACTCGCCGCCGCCCCCCCCCCCCCCCCCCCCCCCCCCCCCCCAAGAAAACCTGAACCACCGTCGAAGCCTCGCACCATTCAAGTGTACGGGAATGACAGAAGGTATGCCAAGCCTCCAAAGCAAACACAGGACAGTCCACCACCCAGGACGACTCTGGAACCCTCATAACGGACTCAGTAGGGGAATGAAGACCCCCAAACCTGATCCATAACAGAGGCATACTCCGGATCACGCAGGAGGTAAGCCTCAAGGGCCTCCTGCACCGCAGGAGGTTGGATGCGGGAACCCAAAAGCCTCCGGAAAGACTGAACCAACGCACCCAGGGGGGACACTAAACGGAACCCGGGGAGAAGCAGACACCAAATCCAACTCTGACAAAGAGGGGGAAAAGAAACCCCCACTCCT